AGCGTCTACCGGCGAGAGGGAGCTCGAGTTTCGCTATCTGCACCGCACGGTCTCGTCCTGTTCCGCACCACACTGTGCCCCACTGCTCCATCCCACACCGCACGGCCCCCTCCCACATCTCACTGCCCTGCCCCGAGCCGTACCATGATGACCCCCTACTGCCCTGCTCCACCCCGCACTGCTTTACGCCACACCGCACCAATCCTTTGCCCTGTCCCACCCCGTCCACCCCACGCCACCCTGCCCTGCGCCACACAACTCCCACAACCCCACACTTCACAATCCCATCCCGCATCTCCCCCCACCCAGGTCCTGTCCCACCCCATGCTGCCTCACCCTGCACCCTATTCCCCTCTGCCCCCGACATCACACTGTCCCCTAGGGACCAGCTGGCCGGGCCAGAGTGTGCGCAGCACTCACGTCAAGGACAGCGGCCAGCTTCCTGGCCTGACTTGCCAGCTCCTTCAGCTGCACATTGCTCTCCCGCAGCGTCTCCAGCTCTTCCTGCCTCTGTGTGAGGGTCTCCTGCAGCTGTGAAGGTCAAATGGGGAAGGGGGTGGGTGAGACAGCCCCGCTGTCCAGGGGATGCTTCACACCAGGGCCTTGCCATTGCCTCGCCAGGATGCAACAGAACAAACCCAGCGCAGGCTGGGGAGGGCTCTGGGGTCCCTACCTGGCTGTTCGCTTCCAGGGCATCTCCCAGTGCTTTCTGGTGCTGGTCTGCCAGGTCTCTCCAGCACGGCTCAGGGGAAGACAGGTGTTGTGGGGGCACCTGCACCAGCACACTACTCTGAAGCTGTGGGGTGCAGGGACCAAAGGCGGCCTCCTCACCAAGTGAGAAATCATAGTCAGTACAGTCCAGTGGCGTTTGCATTAAGGTGGATACATCTGGAAGGAGTAGCCACAAGCATTAAGTGGAGGTACTCGTGACTGTTCTCCCTAACACCAGAACCCGCATTCTCGTTCTAAACATCCCTCTGGGACATCCTGAAATGCTTTTACTCTACTGTGAGTGCTGTGCACCTTAAATCTGTTTGGATTTAATTTGTCTCCCGTAGGAGAAAGCTCAGTGACAGCTCAGGTCCCTAAAGGGGTGAGCAGGAATGCACTACCTCAGAGACTGTCCCTGGTGGGACAAATATGCAGTGAGTGGGCATCCAAAATACCAAAAGCAAAGCAAAAATACAAGGAGACCAAAAGGAGCATGACTGCAGATGTGAATACACTGGTACGTTTGGCTCAAGTAAGGAAAAACATCTACTTGCCAGATATAAAATCACCGACAGTATCTCTGAATTCCTGGAAATCAAACTCCGGCCCATCCTGGAAGCAAGGACCCTGTTAGGGGTGAAGTAAATGATCCAGTGAGCAGGGCCCAGAGCTCAGACCTGCCCACACCACTGCCAATACTGTTCCAATAGTGCCTGCTGCCTGTGCTCAGCACTGTATCGTAATTCCAGCACCCCCGGCAGTATCCCCTTCCTATTTGCCACTAACCCATATGACACATGGGACAAGATTCTGTCCTTTGCTGTGCCCATTTTGCAGGTGGGAAACCTGAGGCTAGAGGAGCTGCCAGCACCCATCTTCTTGAGAGAGCTACCCCTCCAGGTGCCAAGCTCAGCCTAGGCTGCTCTGAACAGTAGGTTTACCTGCTGCAGGGTCACAGGGCCAGCTGGGGTGGTGGGAAGGATGGGGGCAGAGGCTGTCAAATCCTGCCAGTTGATGGTGCTGAGCACTGGGGACAGTCAGAGACAGAGGTGAGTAGCGCGGGCAGGGGTGGACATAGCCAGGGGGGCATGGCAAAATGAGGAGCACGCCTGGGGGACAACTTCGATGTGCATGGTCAGGGAATGCAGGGCTGGGAAATAGGCTGCGAAGGCACCGGGGGGGTAGAGTGGGGGTCATGAAGAGGGGTCATGGCCAGGGGAACACGGTGGGGAGAAAGGTGGGGGTGTCACCGCGTGGAGGTGCAGGGCTGGGGAGCGCTGTGGAGGACATCAGAGGGGCGCAGGAGGAGGAACAGGGAAGGGTACACGCCTGGCGGGTTAAGGCTGTCCACCGCAGGCTGACTCACCGAGGGCGGGCGCTGCGGGGGCCGGCGAGGCGCCGCTGCGGGGCGGACGGAGCGGGGGAGCTCGGGGGCTCAGAGCGGCCGGGGGCGTCCACGCTGTGCCTCCGCCGTGCCGTGCCGGCTTCTTGGCTAGGCGGGCGTGCGGGCCCTGGACCGTGTTGGGGCAGATGCTGCCGAAGGCTCGGCGGCGGCCGCCCTGCTCCATGCTGGCTCCGCGGCCCCGGCTTCGGCTCCAGCTCCGGTGCCGGCGGGCGCCCTCCGCCCCGCGTCCCGCTCGGCGCCGCCCCGCGATCAGGGGTGCGGGTCCCGCGGCCATGGCGGGGGCTGCCCGCCCGCCTGCCTTCCCTCCTCCTGGGCGCCGAAACCTCCCGCCGCCGCCCCGGGCCGCGCCGCCGGCTCCCGCGCCCGCGGAGCCCTTCCCCGCGCCCGCGGAGCCTGGGCGGGCCGAGGGGCTGTCCCGGAGGGAAACTCGAGGAGAGGCGCTGGAGGCCCCGCCACCACGACCGCTCGTCCCTCCAGCGCCTCGCTGCCGCGCTCAGCCCCGCGGGGCCCTGCCGGGTAGCGCGAACCTCAGCTTGGGTGCTGGGCTGGCTTTTATAATGGTGTTTGTTACATGTCGTTATCGGGATAGGGGCTGCCTGAAAGCCACGGAGGATGGGGGACGGGGTGGGGTGTCTTGTGTAGGAGAAAAAAAAACGCCCATGGCATCTTGAATGCACAGATCCGGGCACCGGGTTAGGGTACCCTCGCATCGGCAGAGGGTCCCACCGGCTGCTACGGCAAGCCCAGCTGAAATCCCCCGCAGGGTTGGAGGAGGATGAGCTGTCCCTTATTCCCCCTTGGTGCTCTTGTAGGCATTTTCTGTAATAGCAGCGTGGACACGGTTTGCTCGCTCTCCCTCAACGCCTGATGGCAGGCAGGACTTGAAGCGCCTCCCGGCGTCCGGGTCCCCCCTGCCCTGAAAGGCGAGAGCTCCCTAAGGCAGCTCTAGGTGTCTATGAGGTCTTTTAACACCACTTCTGTGCAAAGGTACAAATGAAGAAAATGAAATATTTTACAACACTATGACTGTTTTCTGCCCTTGGTGCCGACCTGTTCAGGAGCATACAGCTGGATTATAGACCTGTTAGAAAACTAAATAAACAATCAGTCAAACAAACCCAGCTGTTATTATTATTCCACACTCTGTTTTCCTTCACTTATGCTAGTGCATCTAATTTTTTTTCCCCTCGAGCCGTGACCAAGTCAGCGTGTGCCAGTTTGAAATGGGTAATGCCTGATGGCTAGAAAAAAACCCCATAGACCAGTGTCTATAGAGCCAAATAAATTTGTTTATTGCAGCTCTGGAGATGAGGGGTATTTCTCCATCTAATTCACCTAACCTTTTCAAGCGCTGTGGTTTATTTTTATATTAAGTATTGCTTAATATTGCCACGTCATTATAACATCATCATATATGCACCAGATTTACACAACGCTTCTCATGGTTATAAATTGTTCTTCTCTACTGTGCTTGTGCTTCCCCAATTTAGGTGGTCTTGGGGGTCTTCTTCAATGAAGTCTCAAGGTCTTCCTCGCATTTGAACTTTCCAACTTTGTTTTCAGAGCACGCACATTTATAGTGTTCCTTGGTCTTTCCGGATCTAGCCAGTCTAAATTCTTCATTTTGTGGCTAATTTGCTTTACATTTGCTCGTCCTGTTGCTTCCCAATATAGCTATACTTGCCTATTTTGGAAACTATTCACCTGCCGAGTTGCCGTTTATTTAAGCATTAAGCAACTAGTTAACCAAACACTAGCTATTACATTGTATACAAAGTTATGATTCAGGTTATATTGGTATCTCATAACTCAAGATATATAAGATAAGCATATTGTAGCTTTGACACAAGTTATACAGGCATCACAGGGAATGACACTATTGGGCATCTTTATTATGTGGGGGGTTGAGTTAACTGACAGGGTGAATTCGTTGTGTGCCAATGTGTTTCCCCTCTCAGCTGCGCCCACATACTGACAGAAAATAAAGGAATACAGGTAACAAGCAGAAAAGTGTTTACTCGACATTCAGCTGGTCCTTACACTGTTATCTTTGTGGACCGCCCTCCAGTTAAATAATACAGTACCTGAGATTCAGTAAATAATTGTCCTGGGGTACAATGCAAAAATGTGTATTCTATCACCATCTGTTGAAATGTGGGAGGGGTGGTGATTCTTATCTCTGTGGGAGATATCCTCTGCTAATGTGCCATCTAATAAAATCAAGGGGATGATCATCGTTATCTATTCACAACCCATCCTTCCTCCAGAAGATATATTCTCTTAATGAACCATTAAGTCCTATTGTGTGACTGATAAGATTACATCACCCCATTAAGAAATGCTCCAGCTAGGGAGAGGAGCCAAGCCTTTCCTACCTAGATAAAAAACTGAAGTTTGGAACACGAAGGTAGCCCTTTCCTCTGGATCCCAGAGGAAAGTCGGACCTTTTCCACATCATCGCTGGACCTTCGAGGAAAACTGCACCTTCTACAGGAGCACTGCAGCCACCATTTATACGGACTGCTACCAACACCCTGACTGACAGGGTGTCAGGCTGTATTCTAACTGTCAGTAGTTTTTCTTTTGTGTTATTACATGTATTATATTTTTTCTCTTTTTTTTTCCTATTAAATTATATTACTGACTTAAAAGACTCTCACTCGTTTTGCTTTCAAATCAATACATTTATTTACATGCTATACTTAAAAAAGTATAGCAAAGGGACAGTGTAGATGACATGACACATACAATCGTTTGCAAAACGCCATCTAATTTTTAAGCTCCAATGACACTAAGGCTTAGTGGATCACCACTGCATCGACTCTGTGGAGCACAGAAGTCGAGCCAGAGCCGTCGCCGCCGCCGCCACCACCACCACTCGCTGTCAGCGGTCATCCGCTAGCGAGGGGCACTTCTGGCCCACCTCCGAGGGCAGGAGGAGAGACAGGGACCGCCCGTTCAGAGACACCAGGAGCTGAAGCTGGTCCATGCAGTCCCGCAGGAGCTCCTCCGGGTAGCCGCTGATTCGTAGGTCCAGGGGGCTGCGGTGTCGCAGGAGCCGGTCCGCCAGCCCCAGGCTGCTGGCGGCCAGCAGAGAGGGCGCGTATTTGGTGAAGGCATAGTCAGCCAGGCTGAGCTCCGCGATGCCCTCCGCCAGGCTCCGGGCGTCCGCCGCCTCCCCCTCGTCGGCCCCTCGAGCGTCCAGCCGCACCTGGCTGAAGTGCTCCAGGAAGAAGCTGACGGTGGGCGCTGCCAGATCGAAGTCCAGGCGATGCAGGACGATGCACTCCAGGTTGCGGAGCTGCTGGCGGGTGAAGGCGTCGCAGCAGAGGGCGAGGAGCTCTTTCACGCTAGGAGGGTGCACCTCCACCTGCGAGTGGGGACAGGAGTGAGAACGCTGCCGCCGGGAAGCAGCGCAGAGGAGCTGGCGCGAGCCCGGCCTGTCTGTGCCCCCCCCAGGCTAGCCTCGGCGGGCTGCAGAAACCCTGGCGGCGGGACTGCCGGGCCCCTGGGCCACCCTACCTGCTTGCAGGCAATGAGCAGCGCTGTTACTCCCAGGAGCTGGAAGCAGTCGGCGGCCACAGGGGTGGTGGCGAGAAAGCGGTCGAGGATGTTGACGGCCAGGCAGAGTGCCTCCAAGGAGAGCCCGAAATGCCGGTGCACGGGGATAAGCCAGCTGACCAGCTTGCAGCGCGCCTCTGCCGTCACCTACGGCACCGGGGATCAGACGGGGCCCACCCCGGGGTCCCCCGCCCGCTCCCCGCCGCCGGCCCCACTGCCCCCACCTGCGGCTGTCGAGCAAGCGGCTCCCGCGGCTGGAAGCGGCTCTCCAGCGCCTTGCGGGAGCGGTACCAGCTCTCCCCGTAGTCGCGGAAAACCTGCAGCTCCTGCGCGCTCTCCCTCGCCGCCGCCGCCGTGCCCAGGCGCCGCCGCCGTGCCGGGCGCCGTGGGCAGCCCCCGGGGGAGCTGCCGGGTCCCCGACACTCCGGAGTGCCGCCGCACCGCCCGCTTGCCGCCGTCACCATGGGGGGAGCGCCCGTACCAGCTCCGCTCCGGTCGCGGCACTGGCTATTTGAGCGGCGAGGCGGCCGCCAAAGGTGTCACCGCCCGCCTCCCAGGATCCCCGCCCCGCCTGTCCCGCGGAGGTCGTCTGGGCATTTAGGGGACCACCGTCTCCAAAACAAAATTTGAGCCCCTGTAACGTCTGTCTCTTGTCTACTGCTGTGGAGGAGACGCGGCGGGACTGTGACCTCCCGACCACGGCCTCCTCACTCTCGCATGGCACAGAGAAAACCGGGCAGCAGAAATGTAGACCCATGAACGCAGCCAGCTGAAGCTGCTGCACCGATTTTGCCATTACCAGCACAGCTGTCTTTGCAGCTCCTAGCAATTCAACTCGGAACCTCGTAAGCAGTAACAGGTACCCATCACTCCCCACAAGTAACAAGTGTCACAACTAACACTTCCAGTGCAGGTCACCAGAAACAGCAAAAATACAACAGGAGGAATGCTGGAGCTCACAGGGCACTCTGGCTCTCAGTTACACTTCCATCCATGGATTATTTATGTAATGGAGTACTACTTTAAAACAGCTGAATGAAGAAAAATCAAAACAGTCCTGCCCTTCTCCCACCCATTTATAGTGTGCTATATATGTAGAAAGACTTGGAGAAAGAAAATTTCTTTTGCGTTAAGCACTGGGAAAGATGCCAGTGGGAAACGAGCTTCATGAAGCCCAAGATGCAGAAGCAAAACAGAAGAGATGGGAATTCTATAACGTGAATAGCATAAGAAGGAACTGCTCTCCAAGGTGAGGACAGAGATCAGGAGAACATACTGCCTTTAAAAGAATGAGAGAACTGATTGCAGATCACAGTTGAGATTATGGTGACAAAGATTCAGAGATACTGAATGGTCCTGTGTCTGACAAACGCTTTGCAAAAAGTGACACAAAGGTGTTAACAGAAGTCTTTATTAATAAATAAAGCAAAAGAGAAAGTTCATCCACCCAAAAGAGTACAGGCACAAAAGTTTCTCGTGTATACTACAGAAGCAGAAAGCCGGCATAGAGTATTTTTTGTTTGCTTTTCTTTTTAAGATAACTGTGCTTATCTGTACACCACAGTGTGACCTCCTTAATGTTTTGCAGAAAACTGTTGCTCACACAAGATCGTGCAATTTCCCAGTTATTACAACATATCCCCTTAATTTATTTCAGTTATTTATTTAAAAGATTACAAAGCAGAGCATGCTAGAGAAACACAAAGAATAACTCTGAATTTCAACATTACCACCTATAAATGGAAAAATACCTCTTATTCATCACATTTGAGTAAGGAAGAAGAACTCAAACACAATTCACACTTTACCTAGGATTTAACCATTTAAGACCAACAACTCATTTGCAAAATACAAACTCAAGAGAAAGATGAGCTTATTAGTTTCTGAATTACTGATCCATTTTTCTAATTTGTGTTTTCAAAGGATACAAATAAAGTATCTCAATCAAAACCTAGGAAATCTGTTTAGAGTACAGATTTAGTTTGTATCTTCAATGAATATAATTTGCAGGTTTTGGTGTCAGTGTGAGAATACCGAAGGCAAAGTTGAGGTCTTAAGGTCTAAGATCAAAACTTCTTGTTCAAATGCTTCCTTGCCTAAATGGCAGTGTAAAAAAAACCCCAAAAGTCACTTCCTGTCTCCTATGAAATCAGAACTACGACTAGGTTATTGTAATGCATAGAAGAATAGTAGATATGATCCCTGTTCCTTCAGTGCTGTTAGCAAGCAGCTTTCCTCTTCTAGAACTGAGTGTAAGCTAAAATGCACAAGCTGGACAGCAATACCAGTTTGACAATGATAATCTAACTGGATAGGCTTCATATATCTCGCATTTTTATGCAGTTTCCTCAGTGTCCTTTCTGTACATGATTAACCTTTGCTGTATAAAACCTTTATTTTTCAGATTAAACAGAAGTAGTCGTCTACACTGTGCTTCTGTCTGTAAAGACAGTTCCTATTTGACTACAACTGTTCAATGGTAAATCCTCCCCAATATATTCCAATATATTCCTTATTCTTGAAAGCTGAGTTGGCAATCTAAAATTGCCCTTCATAATTAGAAACAGTGCAGATAGGTGGAATGTGAGACCATCTGATTCATTAAGCTACTCAATTAATGATTATTCAGTATTAAAGAAACAAAGGATCACTCAGACATCCAGTCATGGTGAGCAAGAAGGGTAGGAGAGAGCTGCCACTGGAAGTTTCCATGAGGAGCTTCTCAGATATTTCCTTGAAGAGGGTCAATACTAATTTTGATCAATAAGGGGAAAAAAACCACATGATCATCTCTTGCAGAACTATGCAAAACTTAACATACAAAAAAAGGACATCAAATTACAGTACAGTTGCAGGAGTTGCAAGTATCAGGGTAAACAAGGAGAAACAACTGACAAGAGGCACATCCTCTGCTTGTGAGGAGCTGCTGGTCAGCACATGTCTCACTGAGCCTCACTGAACACTTGTTCACAGCAGTCCATACTATCATCTTAGAGATGCTTATAGAGCATCTTCTCAATGTAAATCATACAGAAAAATCAAGATTTCTCTAAGATGTAATGGTTTAATACCATAAATAACTAGTTTTAAAAAATCATCACTTAGGAAACCCATGGGAGAAACATATGTCTTCTGTTTGCACACGTGAAATTCCACTCAGCTGAGATTAAGGACCAATCTTCCATCATCAGTACACACTGTACTGATGATATGATTAGCATTTAAGTAAAAAAAGAGGAATTGTTCACACCCATTTCTATTTTGAGAAGAAACTGCTTGCAGTTATCATTCACACATTCAAGACAAATGGCACCAAATATGCTGTAAAGGCAAAGCATATTCAATGTTCATCTTTACACTGATAAAGAAGAAAGGCTGATTCTATGCAAAATCATGCAGTGTATCCCCCATCATGGTTGGTATCAACCACATTAATAATTTAAATATTCCTATTAATGTTGGAGTGAGTATTTCTCCTGCAATTACTGAAGCGTTGATTTGTTACTGATTTCTGATTTCAGTTACCATTTTCTGTTTTTATCAGCTCTTTGATGATGTGTAAGACCTTGTCATCTAGAAAAGAAAAAAAAACACAGCATATGAAAAAGAGCAAGCTAAAAAACTGATTTCCAAAACGCCAAAAATCTAAGTCTAGCTCTCAGCAAATTAAAATTTTGTTTCAGGCTATGCCAGAATCTAAAGCAAAACAAGTGATCATCATTTGGCTAGCAAAAGGACAAGCAGCATGTACACAGTATATCATAAAATTATTCAATAAACTGTCAGTGACCATTTCAGTATTCCACAAAAGATTGGGAAAGTGGCAGGTTAAGTACAGATAGATACATCAGCTACCAGTAGCTCCTTTTCTTCCTCACCTACAATATGCTGAACATCCAGTGTCCAAATTTTAAATTATGCTCCACAGTTCCTTATTTTTGGGAACCAACATGCTGTTGGTTATCCTAGATTTTGAGAATTTGCATAACACTTATAAAGCCATTCACACTTCGGATTCTCCACACGTAATCTCGATTCTATTTTGAGATGCATGCCTCACCATTACTACTACTACTACTATCTTGAATATTGTTACCAGGGCTATCTTTAAAACGGCAGTTGTGCAGATCTTTGTACATCTGGGGTGAGCCACACAACATATGCAGGCTTAGTAATGACTTTCTGGATGCCTCTTAACGGAACTTTCATGTCACACATTCTACTGTATGAGGATGCAGTCTACTAATGATTGCTCAGATTTGCTACAAGGTCCACTTAAACAGAAATGCCAGCAATAAGTTACCTTCAAGTGACATTTTGGGATTTTCAAGCTTCTTCTTCAAAACAGACTCAATGAGAACTCTCAGCTGTTTGAAAATTACTGCGATCTTAACAGGAGCCTATAAAGAAAAGACAAGCATTTGCATCACCAGACATTTCATACCAAAATATAGATCACAATACCACGATACATATAAACAGAAGTTCTTAACAAGATTACTGCAAATATGATGCACATATGTGAACTTTAATGGCAATGATAATCATGATGGATAGTATACTCATGAAATGACTGGGCTTACATTATGCCTTGGCTTTAAGTAGTAAGTAAGTAAGCTTTTTTGGTAGTATCAAAGCCCGAAGAATAGCAGCCTAGAAGGGCAGCTTAGAATGTGTTCCCACACAACCAGCATAAGAGGAAATTATTACTTTACCAATGAGCTATCCAATTAATTACTGTTTCCCCCCCAAGGTAACAAAGTTCAAATTACATTTATATCTGAAATAAACCAGCTATGCATTTGCCTCTTGGGAGGTCTGCCAGGCCTTCTGACAAAGCAATCACAAGTCTTTCCTAAATCTCACTAGGAATTTGGATACCTCAAACTGAAGCCCCTCTCCCAAAAATATTTCATTTTATCCTTTCCTCTCTTAATCCCTCCAATCTTTCTCTAACAAATCAATCTCTAACAAATCCACAAGGAACCTGCTTTTTAAATTCCCTGTGCATGATAAGCAGTGAATTCAAATAGATTATTGGATCAGCAGACTGCAAAAACTTGTTTTGTTGTTTATAGTTGTCTTTGAGAGTAGCACAAGGCCCACAGCACAGAAGCAGCACAGAAAATTGTAACCATGTAGCTGCCTGGATAGCAAAACCCGCTACTTGCCATTTACCAGAATTTACATAGGATCTTTTAATGACAACTATTTTGTCTGCAAAAGTATGCTAGTAAAGTACTCTCAGTTTTCCAATTTCCAAATAAAACTTACACATGTGGAAAGCAAAAAACCTAATCAAGAAAACCAAACCCCCAACCCAAGTAAGCAGCTATTCTACAATTGGGTTTTTCTTTTTCAAACAATTCTGCCTGCACCATAGAACAGTATATACAGCAGTGTACTAAAGATAAATATGTAGTTACAAGATTATAAAATTGTAGGAAAGGGTAATACAAAAACAGTACACTCCTCTGCTTTCAGTACAAACTCTATAAAACAAGGTTTCGTCTGCATCCATTTTCAATACCTTTTCTGAAAGAACACTTTCTTCTTGAACAGAGAGGGAACGGATTTGTTGCAAACCACATATGACAACACCATTCTTTTGAGTGTGATTTATTAAGATTTCATTACACATATACAAAATTTCCCATAATTATCTTTAATTCTCTTCCCCTTTCTTCCCTCTTGTTTCCATATACAATGATCTGAATCAAGCTGATATATCAACTATGTAATATGAAAACTCATGAAATCACAAAAGGTGGGTTAGTTATAACTCCAAGGCACCTG